ACAGCAAAAAGGCATCCGAGTATTTTTTTAGCACTCTAAAAGCATTATGCAGACATATTTTTCCAAATCCAGGTGTATGTTTTACCACTATGAAAATTCGAAATGCATCAAAATGCGCTGAGCTCTATAGGAATCAATGTTTGCAATAGTGCTTACATTGATCTTCAGAGATCCATTTATTACTGGAATAAACATTGTTTTCTTCATTTTGAAGGGATTTTATTGTCTATGAGAGCTGGTTATTTCCATGAACACAAGTGTCTGCAACCACTGGCAATGTGAGAAATGTTTAACTTTATGCAATTGGTGTAGCATAAAGTCAGTTTATTTTATATCTAATTCTGTGCAAGACCTGGCAGACACATTTTTTTTGCACTACCGTTCTACAGCAAGTTTTATTTGATCATAATACAGTCAAAACTATGATGTTACACAATGTTTAAAATAATTCATTTCTATTTTAATTAGAGCTGTCAAACGATTAATCACGATTAATCGCATTCAAAATAAAAGTTTGTGTTTACATAATATATGTGGGTGCACTGTGTATAATTATTTTGTATATATATAAATACACACACATGCTTGTATATATTTAAGAAATATTTTCATGTATATACTGTATATTTATATATAATTTATAATATATATATATATATATATATATATCTTATATAAATAATATTTTTTTCTTAAATACATGCATGTGTGTGCATTTATATATATACAAAATAATTATACACAGTGCACCCACATATATTATGTAAACACAAACTTTTATTTTGAATGCGATTAATCGTGATTAATCGTTTGACAGCTCTAATTTTAATATATTTTTTAAATGTAATTTATTCAGCAAAGCTTCAGTGTCACATGATCCTTCAGAAATCATATGCTGATTTTGTGGTCAATAAACATTTGAAAACAGTTGTGCTACTTAATAGTTTTGTAAAAGACTTCTTTTGATGAATAGAAAGTTAAAAGGAACAGCATTTATTTGAAACCCCATCTATTTATAACAGTTGAAATGTCTTTCCTGTCAAATATTTTGAACAATTTAATGAATTTTTGAATAGTACATATTTGCAAAGCCATCATTAAAAACGCACTCTTGTCTTGAACAGCTATACATAATGAATCAAGAAGTACAAAACACACTGTAAAAGTGGCCTATGCAGACACAGCACACAACTGGCCTGTGAATCTACATGTTTGCTGTATTTTCTGGCTGACTTCCAAAGTAGGAATGGCGAAGTTCTTTAGCAAGAGCAGGGCACTCACCAGGAAGCGTCAGTGTCAACAGCCTTTGCAATTAAATGTGGAATTCCTGCCTTTCACTTGCTCCCCCATGAGAGCTGCTGCTGAGACCTACTAGAGTTCTGAGCAAAACAACTCCCTAATGCTTTTGTTAATTGAAACACTTCTCAGTCTGTTCAATTGTGAAACTATGAAACAGCTATTTGTACATGTAAGCACATAAAGGCGAAGTAATTATGCAAAAATACGCACAGAAAGTCATCTGCAGGTTTCTCTGAGGAGTAAACATAGGTGCTCACAGCATACTCTGTTTATTTTAACACTTCGACCACTCCAAAACATCAAAACTGGCCCAACCAATGGTTACCAGTTTCTTCGTAGCTGTCCAAGCGTGCTATTTGAGGGAAGTAAACAAGTTAATAATAGATATATCTGGTCATCCTCCATAACTCAGTTGCTATTTACATCTCACACCGTCTATAAACTCCGTTATGATGGTAACAACTGACACATTTGTATAAAATTCCAAAGAGCTCCGTTATCAGCCCCACAATGGAAAATTAAACCATATCCATTCTGGCTGGGACAGATTGGCCGAGAATGGAATGGTTAAACAACGAGAACAGTTTGGCCAGATGATGGAAAAAAGTGGAAATGACATTGGCGTTGCTTGTGCCATGCTTTACTCTTTCAGTGACAATATACTTCAGTTGTTGATATGAAACAAGATGAGTAAAGGTGTCATTTCCATTGTTTAGCTGAAAGACTTCAGTTGTCCTCTATGTCAAGCACAGCCCCTGTGGCACTTGACAACAGACACAAATTTAACACATTTGCTGTCCCATGTTCTAGGATCCTGGGGAGCATAAAAAAAAAATGAGTTGTCAGTTTTGTTTACCAGTTCTGCCAAAGTGTTGTCTCCCCAAGCATCTCCAGTAGCTTTGCACAAAGTAATTAGATTTACAGGGAGTGCTGGGTCGTTATTAAAAGGTCCCTGAAGCAACTCATTTTGAGGATTGGTTAGAATAGGAAACTCTGATCTCCTTCAAAGGCCAACAGGCGAAAAACATCTGCATATTCAACAACTTTAACATGACAACCAATGTATGTGCCAACTTCTACTCCATGTGTCAAATTCACTCAGTCCTAATTCATATAACTGCAATGAAAAAAGTGCAATACTCCACAAATCAGATCTTGCATATCATAAAACATAACGTATGCCACGGCAACGAATGTGGAACTAGCCTCAAACTACTGATGATGTGCAACATCGCACACATGCACGAATGACAAACGTTTTACAGACTCAAAAGTGCAGTTTGTTTAGCACGGACTGCTAGAAACTTGGCAGGGAATTAAAGTTGTGTTGCTGATAAACGGTTTTATAGCAATGGATTGGGTGATACTGGGTCCATAGTGCTACATGTGTGGCCTTATCTTTATAAAATAGTGACTGATTACATTCATAAGTTTTCTTCAAGCATAGTAGTAGTACAGTATGACAGGCAGTAAGTAAGGCAGTTTCAGTTATCAGTAGACTATCTACTTTATTTTTACGTAAGAGTGGGTTTGTCCATTTTCAGCTTGAATGAGCGAGGCTTCCAGTTATTGTGCATCATATTGCAAACTGGCATAAATGCACTTGTTATTCTCCTAGTTTTGTCAAAAAAAGACCTAAATCAAACAAAGACCTTGCACATTCACAGAAAATAGTTTACTACCATGATCAAAAATAAGGTGATCCTGAGTTATTAAACTGTGGGCAACTTTGCAAACAGAAACCTTAATATGTCCTTCAGATTTAACAATATAGACTAAAACATTTGACTTGATTCTGTGGTCCTCTTGCATATAAAAAAATAAATACAAAAATCGCCTGTATGACAAGAAATAATGTTTCCAGCAGGTTATCACGAGGACATCTTGGCTCGATTCTGTTTTCAAGAATGTCGTTCTTGCACAAGCAATATTTCATCCAGTGTGCACTCCCTCTGAGCTGGGTTTAAATTGTCATGGCTATATTATAATGCATTATTCACTGTGGGAACAAGTCCGTTTACACTACAGGAATGGAATTTCCTGTTAGGTTATAACTGTAAAGACATCGTGCTATGCATTCACACTACTAAACAAAATAGGTCGCTTTACACATGCTAGGATGACTGACTAATAAAAAGATCTTATCACATAGCATTTTCTAATCAATTCTGCATCCTATCGTAGTGCAATATATGTATACATCTCTCTACAATCTCAGTGAAATAAACTCGCCATGGAAGATTGGGTGAAAAAAAACCCCATAGATCTCCACTAGGGCCAATGCATATTATTATTTTCACTGGGTTGTGATACAAATGTGTGACAGGTTCAGGCTTTTCACTCAGCACTTAACGTCTTATTTAACCCTGATTCTGAGTAGTATAAACATTCTTCAAAGCAATGTCTAGCCCTGAACCACTGCAAGTATGTGCATGCGAGTACTGCAGTGTATGTGGATAGTTGACCTATTTTAAGTAATTTTAGTGTGTTTAGATTGAAATGTATATTAATATACAAGGGGAAGTATATTTTAAGTTCAGCACATTTTTTTATGACCAGTTTAAACACATTTTTTGCATTTTCTATTTAATTATGAATGGTCTTGCAGTGATATTTTTTTAAAGATTATATATATTATATATATATATATATATATATATATATATACATACATAAATAAAGGTATCTTTTATGAGGCAAAAAAAATCTGCATGCATGATTATACAATGTAAACTACTGTCAACTACTGACAAGTCAACTACTTATCAACAATGCATGTGCATAACCTTATGTAAAATGTAAACCTGTAAAATGTCTCTATTTTGAAAACCTGTTGAATCTAACAAGACTATTATTTCGAAAGTTCTTTTTTCAAATAAATACATGAACATGAAATATTGATTTGATTTGAAATATTCAGTTAAAATTATACTCGCACATATTATGAGTGAACAGTTATACAACATCGCTGCAGTGATTGACCAATCAGAATAAAGTATTCCAAAGAGCCATGTAATAAGGATGGGTAGCCTAGTAGTTGATATTGAAAACAGACTGTCTAATGTCATGTAGCTAGTTTGACATAATTCATCTAAAATTACAATAGACAAAAAAGTTACATTTGTCTATCGTTATTAGCCTATAGCCTACATGCAGTGTACGCATGTTACAAACTATAAAGGTAAACGTGATTTAAAAGAATATAGGCTACACTTGCCCATAAACACATATGTATATTTTAAACTAAAATCTTGATGTTTAGTATAATATAAAGTTCAGTGACGTTAAATAGCAACTACACATTGTTGCATGCCACTTAACGGTCTATGCCTCTGGCGTTATGAATATGAAATAATCATGTCACGGAAGTGAAAGAGCAAGCTCAGGTGACATCGGGAACAAATTCCCTTTAAGTCTGCAAAACTAAAACCTTCCTTTCGAGAGTCCTGTTTAAAACGTAAATATGCATTATTATTTTAAACTCAGCGATAATACAGTGTTAAGGCGTCTAAGCTTCTTAGGAAATGGAATAATCGTTCAGCAAGGGTCAGTCGCGCGCCTTATATTACTCAATAACGATGATCATAACTCTGCATTACGATCACCAGGCTGTAATCTTCAGCCATGCAAAGTTTCTTTAAAAGTGCGTTAATTGCAATGAGATTATATGAAGTTTTATGCGCTATTTTGATGAGACTAACCTGAGATCCCTCCGCCAATCACAATCACGTCGTATGCGTTCGCAGTCATGGTGCTGTTCGTCTGACTGGCGCTCAGAGAGCAGAAGAGCCGCATCTGTGTTCAAAGCGTTCTGAGCCCCGCCTCCGCCTCCCATCATTGGGAATGACAGATAGAAGAGCACCGGGGGGAAATACACCCAAGCACCCTTCCACGTGCTATGTTGGCCTATGTAATGAATGCGAAGTCACCGTGATTTTGCTAATATTTTGTTGATCCTGGAACAACATTCCTGTCCGAAAATTTTGTCTAAACCATATACCCACCCCTAAACTTAATTCGACCCATGCCTAATCCCTAAAATTATAGAGATAATAACAACACTGTAGCCTAAGCATCTAACCAAAACTTGACAAACTCTGGCGAAGTCTGATTGGTTGATTGGAATGTTGTTGCAGGATAAACAAAGATGTTGATCAAGGAAATTTTTTACAGTATTACAACATTATTGTGCAAATAAATATTTATAAAATAACCCTGCCAATCCCTGCTGTAAATATATAATATTTGATTCTACAATTGAAAATAAAAGAATGTTTGAATGTATTCTAAAAAATAAAAAAGAGATTTATCATGTGTTGAATTAAAGAACATTTTTATACAAAATATTTAAATGCAATAATAAGCCCTGTGAAGCAGTGGTTTTACAGTGAATTTACAGTTATGTGCATTTTTAGACAGGACGTGGAGCAGAGTGCCTAAAACCCCTGTTTTAAATTTACTGTAAACCACAGCTTAAGGAACTGTTCTCATGACCTGTTTTATTTATTTATTTACTTATTTATATATTAACACAATATAGGCCTATATTATATTTCCTTAGGCTCACATCTACTTAGTTCAGCAAAGTACTTTTCTTATAGTTTATACCAGACCAGTTTGAGGCATAGCACGTGTTCACCTAAGAAGAGATAGTGTATCTTGAACATACCATACCATGCTAAGTTTTCAAAAAAGAAAACTTAAAAAAAATAATAATAATAGAAACCCACAGCACTTCAGAAAATTAAAGGTGAATGATGCAAAATAATGCCAGCAGGGGTCACTCATACTTCATAAATAGTAATGGCCAGGGAATGTAAGAATTGTCCTGTAAAATTGTATCGCAGCCCCATCCTTACCATGTAATCTGGAACACAAGACAACCTAACAAATACATTTTTGCCAAAGATGGTTTCTGTCATTTTAGGTAGTTTTTTTTAACATGCTGATGTAAGTTCAAGTCTTTGTTTATTTAAAATAAGTTTGGTTTTTGTTAGTTCTTTAAACTATAAAAACTGGGGAGGTCACGGTTGACAGCTGAGATTGACAACTTCTCTGAGTGAAGTCACTGAGGCACCAGATGACTTTTTTTTGGGACCTTTGGAATGAGAATCGGGCTTTAACTTTAAATTGATATATATCCCTTTAAGTCTTGAGATATTGGCTAATAAGGGTTCTATGTGGACCAATTTGTCATTTTTGTACAAGGACACTCACATAATGATTTTATTGTAGAGAAAATATCTGCATGATCTGCATGAAAATATCTGCTCTTTTTGCATACCTGGACTAAGGAAACGACTAATGTGAGTTTTCATTTTGGTTGAAATATTTCTTTCAAGGGAATGTGAAAAGCGATTAACAGTCCAGTTACTATATCAGCCACAAGAGTGTGTAGTTGCTACATTAGTTTATAGTGTGCAACACAGAAAAGCAATCGCAGCTATATAAAGATGTTTATGAAATAATTTCGAATTACCTTAGCATATACCTTCTGAAAAATAGACAAACACTCCAACAACATGTTCACATACAATGTCATGTTTTATAGCCTAGCATTTGTTTGATATGTTGTTTCTGCTTTTATTATTCTGCTAATTATTTGTATGTTTTTACTGACAACAGATTTTATTACAAAGTAGCTGTGAAAGCCAGTGAGGTCCAAGGAGTATCGTTTCAAAGAGTGAAAACAAATGGTAGCAAAAAAACATTTCAATTTCACTATTGGAAAAATTGCAGCTGATATTGGCTTCAGTCTAATCAGGTTATAGGACAGAATAGCCTACTACACTGCCTCACATTGGTATCTTATGAGAGATCAAAAAGACATTGCAGACGTGGGGATTAAACAATGGTATTTGTCTTTTATTCATGGCATTTTTGTAACTTGCTCCTTTACAACCTTCTTAGCAGGAACAAACTTACCTTTTTGTGTTTTAGATGGTTAAAAGTGTTTTTTCCCCCCTACTCAATTGGACCGTCACACTCTTGGGCCAAAATTTGGACTGGCTTCAATTAATAATAACCCCGTTCTGTTTGAATCACCTGTCGGTTTTGCTCGATTTATCACTTGTCTGAGAGGGAATAAAGACACGCACTTGTACAACATCTGGAACATTATAATTAACGGAAGATCAGAGAACAAGATGATGTCTCATTTAGCTGGGTACCTCGACTCTGCAGCCGACTGGTAGGGAGATTTCTTAGGCCAGCTGTAGTGACTAAGTCCTAAACAAAGTCTAGTACTGGTTGCTGATTTCGTGGATTTAAGTTTAGACATGTGCGTGTGATCTTACACGTAAAATAAAGACGGAGAGCGTTCATTAATGTTATTATTATCTAGCAATTTATTTTCCTGCATATCATACAGTGGCAATATCTTAACTCATAATATAACATACAACACACCGTATCATTTACCCCAAGCGCAAGACCATGGGCACAGTCGAAAACTGTTTGCTTCTCAATCAGCGACACCTGTGTCTGAGTTACCTCCAAATTAAAAGACTTACACGGGCTGACCCGAGATCAGCTGTGCCACAAAGCACATACAGCCCCCTAGTGGCACAGCACAAAATTGACAAATACAAAGTGAATATGGCTCATACACTCCAGCCCCTAATTGCATCTTTCAGAGCAATTACACCAAATTCAAAAAGAGCCATAATACAGAAAATACATAAATACCCCACTGTGAACCAATTACTCTTTAGCTTCATTTAGCAAGCATATTTTAGTAATGGGTCGTTCAATGATGTTTGTCTTGGTCTTCAAACGAACCACACGTACCAGACCTCTCTTATCGGGGAAGGTTTCCAGGACTCTTCCTAGCATCCATGACCCACGTGGTGCTGTTGAATCCGCAACCATGACCAGATCTCCAGGAACAAAATTCCTCTTCTCCTGGTTCCATTTTTGACGCTCTTGTAAAAGCGGTAAGTACTCGCGGATCCACCTCTTCCAAAAGAGATCCGAAATGTACTGGGTTTGTTTCCACCTTCTCCTTGCGTAAATATCCCTTTTGTTGAACAATCCTGGTGGGAGAACTGGTTTTCCTTTGAGGAGTAGCAGATGGTTTGGCGTCAACGCCTCTAGATCATTGGGATCCTCTGACAGTCTTGTGATGGGGCGATCGTTAAGTATAGATTCAGCCTCACAGAGCACGGTATGGAACCAGTGTTTCCTCTAGGATTTTTCCAAGCTGTGGGGGCAGGCCCATTTCCCCGGTGGGGGGGCCTTGTCTCCCCAAAGTATTATAATCGATCATGCGCATCCCGTGTGCAGAATGATGCACTTGAAGCAACACCAAGTCACAGCAAGCAATGCTTCACATTGAAAAGAACATAGCGAAGGGATTATATCTATAATATGCTTAGTAGGGCTGGACGATTTGGGGAAAATGTCATATTGCCATTGCAATTACTGAGGTCAATATTGCAATTGTGATATGCGATTCCGATATAATAAAATGGTTTCATGAGTCCAACTTGCTTGGTTCTAAAGTAAAATGCACACACAGATTAGTGATCATTCTGTGTATTAATGTTTATTTCTCAACTCAAACTACAGACAACAACTAAATGATTGATAACACCTATAATGATCAATAAACCATCAACCAAACCATCATTACAGTGAAAGCTATCAACTTTTTTAAAAAAAATTATTAGGCAAAAAAATTTTTTTAACAAATTTTAAATTAAGTGAACTTCAAACAATCCCCACATAAACCCATAATAAAAACCATATTTACCTGTGCCCTTCCTGTCTTAACAGGTACAGAAATTGAATAAAGTTATCAAACAGTATGTGCTGCATGAATTATAAATTATATATAGAATAATCCTTATTAAAGCTACAAAAGTTCTTTAGTCAAGATCAGTGAGTAATTTTCTAATTTCCCTTTGTTCTTTTAACTTGACTGACATAACGCTTTATTCGCTGCTGGCCCTTTAAGATCACCCGTTGCCGAGACGCGGATCTCACATGCGCCTCATAGCACAACTCTTTTCGTCCTTAAGACTTTTCTTACGTTATGAAGATACTCGACAAAACGACATTTTGGCATAATTGTGTGTGTTATTGTTCGTTCAAGCTCGAAAGAGAACTGTAATCTGGCACGCGTCAGTGCATGCGCATTATGGCGCGCGTCTTTCTGCGAGTCTCATTTAGGGCATTCACAGGCAGCTTTTCAGTTCTTGTCGTGCAAAATGCGAAAAGGCATTTGCACGAATAAGAACAGGATCGTGTAACACTAGTCAAAGGATGACAAAAAAGAAGAGATGCTGCGTTAATAGCCCTAATTTGTTTATTTCATATAAAATCGCGGCATTTTGCGTTATATAATTGCATAGGTTTGAGATCGCTATTACGATTGCGATATGATTAATCGTGCAGCACTAATGCTTAGTGTATTCTATATGCAACAGTTTTTTGAGCCTTTTCTTTTAACAGTTTTAAATTTCAGTGCGCATGAAGAACATAGCACTCTCTCGACTCTATGCTGTAATCTTACATAAAGGGAATGTGAAAGGTATGGGCAATAAACTCCACTCCAGCAAGATAAAGTCATTTTATGAAAACCATAGACCTTTATGCTTTATCTACAAATGAAGTAATAATGGGAATATTGACCTTGAAGAGAGTGTCGTCGTGTCGCAAACGAACGCGACGAGCTGTGTGAATTCTGAATGGAGAATGACTGAGGCGAGATGACTTTCCGTTAACTTTAACTTAGCGACTAAAATTACACATTATGCAATGACTTTAGAAGTCTTGGAATATAGGGTGAAAACTTGATTGTGCTTTAC